TCTGAATCTTATGAAATTACTTGTAATTTGTTTACGTGCTTTTCATTATGTCACGTATATATTTTAACCATGTATATTATTACCGACTGGCATAAAAAACATTTTCGAAATTTTAGGATATTTTATCATCGCTCAAAACAACAATTCCAAAATTATTTAATTTTAAAAGTATAAGTACACAAAATATATAATATTTGAAAACTTATATACTGAGAGAAATATCGAATCGTTTTAATAGATCATATATTTACAACACTCAATAAAGATTGCAAGTAATAAAAAGAATTGTATTTAAAAATTGATTTCATCAAACATATCTGGTAGTGTTGCGTTTAATCGACGAGAACTATCATCGCGTTACCCTACGCTCGAATGAAAGGAGACATTTGACGATCTGATATGATGATTTATGGGCGAGCGAGAAAGATTGATGAGTCCATCGGCATTGATCTCGTTAACGACAAACGCTTTTATCCTACGGTTTCCCGCAAATCGGCAGAAACCGTTAAAATAGCATCCGGTTATGTTCGACACTGCCATGAGAGATGAAACAGCAGTATGTTTCAATGGCGATCGCAAACGACGCATAAAATTACGGAGCGTCGAGACAGAATCGTGAATCTTCGTGGAATAATCGAGCGAACAAAATGGTTAGTTTGTAGATGAAGCTGCTTATTAGAGAGGTATAATTTCAGCATGAATTTCAGATGCCGAGACGACGAAGAAAATTGCAAAGAGCCTCACTCCTTTACATTTTAAAAAAAGAAGAAGAGTTCAATTAAAATCCACTGCTTTATTAATTTTGTTATCGATATTCAGTAGACATTCCGTAATACCGGACATAATTATAATTAAAACATCTTATGGCATTAAGTATAACACATAAAAAGATAGAGTAGCGAAACATCGCGTGATGAACAAGAGATTTTAATGAATTAATTAATTAACTAATTTATCCAACACATATTTTGCCTAATTTTACAATCAAGGATTGCTATCTCATTATCTTCGCATAATTCAGAATGGCCGTTTCCTATTCCTATACTTCATTCTGGATTTCATTCCTTTTTTCGTCAGTGATGCACTCCGTCAGTTTTGTGGTCATTGATACTCTCGGCCAACCTCATAAATAATTAAATATTCCGCACGGCAAGCCGCATAAATTACTCTTAGCGCGTTTAACGGATAATTAAGTCTCTCCGCAAGAATTAATTACTTGTCGCGCTTGAATTCAAGTATTTCGAGTTACCGGGCATTGTCCGAAAATCGGGAAAATATTTTGTCTACATTCATTCAATTAATTAATTAATAACGAAAGAGATACAAATTAAATGCTGCAACAGATATTCAGTGAAAAAAAAAGGCCGGTGAAATCTCGCAACAATTATTTTCAGATATTAATAAACGGTGCAAATTGAATTTTTAGAGGCGAGCGTTAAAAGTACGAGTTAACAAGCAGCAGTTAACATATAGCGCGGCTGTGAAATGCACCCACGGTTTTATACGAACCGAGAGAGGAAACGTTGAAACGTGCGCGAGTAATAAAACCGCGGACTGTACCCGGGGTAAAATCAGCGAAAAGGAACCATGAATGGCCGCAATGCATTAAACATTCTCGCCTCGTTTCCCGACGGCGTCGTTCACTTTGTCGACGATTCGTACCACTGGCCCGCGCCCGACGTCTTATTGATATTCTCTCCGTAACAACGGTCAAAACTCTCATAAATAGATTGAGATTCGATTATACTAATGCACGCATTATCATTAATTTAATGACGTTACGTGGCCGTTTCATTTCGTCGTGATTATCGCCTCGCGAAGGCGCACGCGATAATCATACCGTTCGTGCCGATTAAATGTAGCTTCGTAATAATCGGAATTAAAAATTTCATGTTGCAATTAAAGCGATTTAATACGGTCGGATGGTGTCTAGTGGCATAGGCGTACTCATCGATAACGAAATCCTCAGCACTGAAACTTACTTCGCCCGGCTAAGCTCGAGTTCAAAGAAAAGTTCTCTCGTTTGACGACGACGACGAGAAAATTTGTTTGAACGCTAATTTCACAGAGTTTCCGTGAAACTGTGCGACAATGCAATTACTTGACGATAGATCCTTCAATTTTCCGTTCACGGTCGTTATGATTTCGCATCCTTCGAAAATGCTTTACGATCGTCTTCCTCGATTTGCCGCGCCCGCGCCGGTGCTACCGTAATCGTAATGTTGCGCTTTACGGGCGCTTTATCGCGCGCGCGTGACTTCTCGTCGATTCGCCGTGATTTAAGGATGGCTCTCGCGAGAGAATATTGCCGGTAGATCCCAATACCGACGTCTAGACTCGGTATTGCTCACCCAAGGCACAGGCTTGCAATATCGGTTTAACGATGGCAAGATGGAGCAGAAGAATGTTCTCGAGCTTGCGAAAGCCCTGTCGACGATGGAGACCATAAAGAACAGCAACGATACGAGCGACTCATATTTGAAATCTGTACGACACACCTGTTCAACTCATTACGCGTTGATAGCATGTTTAATATACGGGGTGTCCTAAAACTGACAATAAATGTTTCAAAGATATAGTTTTTTGTAACATTTTAAGACGAAAAGTCTAACACAAAAATGCCGTGGCTATAATAGTTTTCAAAAATCACAAATAACAGAGCTAGAATTTCGTGCGCTCAGAAATGCGGCACTCATCAGGAATGATCAATGTAAAGATGTCTCCTCGAACTTCATGCTTTTGACAATAATAAAATTCAATCCTGTATTCGTAATTTTTCTCTATCTCTTTGAAAACTATCTCTGATAGCCTAGGCATTTTCTTATTAGATTTTTTACCTTAAAATACTACAAAAAAATCTGTCTTTAAAATATTTATCGTCAGTCTTGGACACTCTGTATAAAATAAATTTTCTCTGAAAGATGATGGATGGAAAGAAGATGGATGAAATATTTGTATAAAATCGAACGCAAATATTTTTTTTATTAATAGAAAGGGTCTTGAAATATTAGTAATAAGTCATGGTATACGTCATCGCCTTATCTACGAAATACCAGAAGAATAAAGTTCCAGTCGTGAAAATAGGGAAGCGTTGTAGTTTAGCAGCGAGGATTGAAGCGACGCCCGTCTGGCGTGCTATTTTAATGCGGGAGATGATCGATTAAGTATTCCACGTGCGGCAAGGCGCGTGGCCGTAATTGAATGCACATCTTGGGATTTTTCACGCATCGCGAAATCCGCGCATCACGACCTGAAAATACCGTAACGAGAATTCCGATGGCTTAAGGTGGAGTTTGTCTCGTCGCGCTTTACGATCTACCGATCATCAGTAGTTCTCAAATTGAGAGGCACGTTTCTGCCATTTTTGGAGGAAATTTCTGGAGAATGTTTCGCAAGCTTTTAAAATGTAAAGCTTCTATTTTTATCTATCCACACATTCAAGACATTTTTCAGGAAATACAATTTATATAGAATTTTTTTTCTATAGCAGATTCTAAAAAATCTTTACGAAATGACTCATCCGGAGAAACACAGATATATGAGATTCATTAAATTTTATACTAATTCCAGATGTACAAAATAACACGAAAAACGTAACATTTAAACCCCTAGATATTTAAAACTGAGAACAGCTGATGATCTCTGTAGTGTGAAATAATAAGGCTGTACGCGTGTCTCGCTTAGGGGTCCAAGGTTCCCAGATGAATCATTAGCCGAGGAGGCAAAAATAATAATCCTACCTCTGCGATAAATCCGCCGCATTATATATAACTCTTGATCTTTGCATCGTGTAACAACAATATATCATCGTATCGATTGTCCGCCCCCAGGTTCTGCATCGAGCAAGTTGAGAGCTTGCCAGGCAGCAGCCAACGACAGAGAGATGAAGAAAGATCGCTGTGGCTACGCATGCACAGCCTTTCGAGAATCTTCCGGCGCGGCGGCGCGAGTCCGCCTGTTCCTCCGCTTATAATCGCGTTTCGCACAGTTGTACTCGTACGTGCGCGCGTGGGCGAGGGTGAGGTATGAGAACAGAAACCGAGAGGGAGAAATCGTGACTAGAACGGCGTGTGTAATGAAAGGGCAATATTCGTAAAATACTACGAGACACATAAAGCAGAATATTCATAAATGTCTAAAATAAAAATCAAATTCAAAATATATGTACACACGTACCGTTTAATATCGCGATATATATAATACATAAAAAATAAAAGATATTTCAGAAAAAAATCAGCTCGTATAAACTCAAACAATTTTCCAAATAAGTAATTAAGTGGACGTTATTATCGGAACTAGAAATATCTCAAAGGAACATATGGATTACACGAACGATCAAAGTCGACCGCAAATTAATTTCATACCGCTCGAGAAAGCAGCAATCAATCGACCAAAGAGGCGGCAAAGGCGGATCGATATAGTGGTAGCCTAAACCGGAAACAAATGGCCGAAATAAATTTTTACGACAGGAAGATATGTATCGCGTCTCGTTAGCCGTTTCGCCGATCGATCTTTGTCGCACGATTAATGTCTCGTCGGAGAGCGAAATCCGCGTAGGAGCCGCGCAGGCCAGGAGAGAGCCAGGAAGAGTCTGAAAAATTTACGCACCGCGGGAGACGACCGCTTCCTGCCTTCGCGAAATTGAGAAGAAATAAATGAGAAAATAACTAGAACGCACGGAAATACTTAGGACGACGAGATCGCGAAAGGAGCTGCCGATCGATGGAGAGGGAACATCCAACGAGCTTTCATCATTTTTACTTGACGGAGTGAGGAAAAATCAAGCGTGGAGAGAAAAAAACGGCGAAAAACGGAGAGAAGTCGTCAGGCGGGCTGGACGGCTCGAGTGGTCGACACACGTCGTTCAAAGCGACTTTTCGCCCCACACACTCGGGAACGCATCTCGAGTCTAGCACGTGTGGAGATCGTCAACGGATCGAGTGACTTTTCCGGGTGGAAAGCGGGATCAATAAACCTGAGCGAGTGGTACGCGAACTTACCTTCGAGATTCGCCATGGAGAACCTGTAGCTGTCGATCCTCGGTGTGTTGATGTCCGAGTTAAAGGGCCTGAGGGTCGCCGAGCTCACATTGTCAAGACCCTGCAACACGAAAGATAGCAAACACGTTAGCTCTACTCCCAATCGAGAAATGTGTGTTGCCGCAGCGTGTTAAGCAAATAAGGGCAATGACCGCAGCCATCTGCCCTTTTAAAAGGAGTAATTGATGAAGAAGATTAAAAGTCTCTTTATATTCGGTGTCTATTAGATTTTAGTAAAACTGTAAGACTGTACAAATATTGAACAATGATTTATCATTGAAACGATAATATACAATAATTACTATAAAGAATTTTAGCAATTTTAATCAATCATTAGTACGAAAGAAAACTTTTATAAAAATGCTGTCCCCCTTTTTTCTTCTCACGATCAAAATTGATCGTGAGAAAGAAGGAGATAGCGGATTTCGATATCCTGCAGCGTGCAAATCGTACGCGGTTTGTAAATGTAGCAGCATGCGAATATATTCTTGAATGTCTGAGTTCTCAGCCACGAAAAACGTGGTGTCATGTACGGCGTAGCGGAAAAAGGTGATATTCAAATCGAATCCATGCCAGAAAGTAACCCCAGCATTTCTTCGACCTTTCTCGTCTATTAGAAATCCAACTCAATCCGTAATCCGTTCGAAATCCTTTTACGTTTCCAATCCCCGATTGCGGATGAGATTTGTACAGTCGAAAGCATTAAGTCACCTACACTCACTAAAAGACTTTACGGCACGTGCGATTTTTTCTGTTCTCTTATCTACAAAATAAAATGAAATAATTGAACTATACTATTAATTATATTATACTATTAAAAAATACTCGCGATTCGTTTAGCATCGATAACATAAGTTGTTAATATCCTCGCAATAATCAGTTAGCAACGAATTTTCTAAAAAATTATCTCAAAAATTAGCTACATGGATTATATTGTTATACACCTTTTCGATTATTTTTATATATTTAAGCATCTAATAGAAATATTTCGCATGTTTTAGTAATAAAAGAGCAGCATTTATTTTCGAAATAGTGTTACAGAAAATGTTCCAATGTAGATCTTATGATCTTCTTATATTACTTTTATTAGAAGTGACTCTTATTAGAGGCAGCAATTTTATTTTTAACAGCAACTTCCGTAAGATAAAAATAAGTAGCGTTTGTGTATCGTTAAGTCGATAATACAAAGTTGATCAGCAGCCTCTGCTTTCCAATATTTTGCGCGATAAAATCATGCCAACGACGAGCAGAAAAGAGTGTTGTGCTCCTCTGTTTATGAAGATAGCGCCAACGGATAACTTCTATAATTGTGCGCGCGCGCGTGCTTTTAGATAGGCAACCTGACTGGCATGCATCGATAACCTTAGAGAGGTACAGGTTATGAGAGGAACGACCTGGTGGTCATTACTGGGTCACTGAAGTTTAATACGCGAACTAGGTAGCCCGATACAATGTAAATAGACCGCACGACCACCTTGTCAAAAGGAAACTGACGCGTCGTAAATTGTCTAGAAGGATTTATAAACAGCGCCGATAGAAGCATGAATGCACAAGTACGCATTGTTCTCTGAGTGTTGCGAAATTATAGTTAGCAGTCCGAGAGTTCGCTAGGTATAGATATCCATGAAGCATAGCGCGCGTGTATGTGTTAATGCATAGCGCAAAATATTTGTTTTAATCCACAACCACAGAGATTTTCATTATACGAGTACATATACGAGTATTACTTGTTATTACAAATTGCAAGCGCAGCGCTATACTTCAACTACAGTTTGCAACAATAACGTATTTGATATAATTTATAAATATTTAACGAGACACGTTAATAGAAAGAGAAAGAGGGAAAAGGAAGGGAGAGAGAGAGAGGAAAATTTTCTCTCTGGGAAAATTTTCCAAATTATAACGATTGTTCACTATTGATATATTCCGACGTAAATTTCATAAAGTTTTTTTTATGAGAAACAATTATAAAATAATCACAGAGGAAAAAATATTTACAAACTTTTTAAGATTCTCTCTTAAAAAAATTCTATTGCTATCTTTATCGTAATCTTTTTCGAGCTTTCGAATTTTTAATTGTATTCCTGTACCGCCTGCGATCGCTGAATACTTCCTATATCTGATATTCATCGGCGATGAGCTCGGTGTGGGTGTGGTGAACGACCCGGTAACCATCATTCGGCCAACCGACGCAACAATTAGATCCGCACGGATAATGCCGGCTCTTCCTGTAACGCGAAACCCGCGGACGTTACGCCCGTGTCTCGTTTCATGAGTATTCACGTATTCTGTACTATCAACGTACTTGCATTAAACCCCGAGCTCGATACAAAAGCTCAGTAGTATTTATGTAGATGTAACATTTTATCTTCTTATTTTAGTACTCGACCTTTAATCCAATCTTCTTCCGACGTAGATAAAATTTTATGAATGTTATGCATTCAAATATAAAAATGAAAAGGACTAATTGCAGTCTGCGAGATAATAAATGCGCAAATTTCATTAAATGGACATAATTCTTAATGAATAATTATAGCATTAAGCGGATACTATAATTGAATGGTTCGGCTTACGCTTTGGCCATTCATTAACGAAAGAAATCGATGCAATGATAATTCTGCTATTATAAAAGGTAGAATAATAGCAGAATGGACAATGTATCGGTTTTATTCATTACTGAAGACAGCCAAAAGCGTGAGCTAAACTGTATAACTGTATTCGCTTCGTATTTTGAAATTATTTATTAAACATTATATTTATTTAATGAAATTTACGTATACTAATTACTGTGTCAATTCTCATTAACCTTTTTCACTTTTATATTTGTTCAAAAGTTCAAATTACTTTTTTCATCTTTTTAATGTATTATAATAGCACTAAAATTACTGTTTTCTGACATAAAATATTATATGAAATGTATAGCATTGTAGCGTTATAATTATCGTAGGTAAAAAAAGTCTAATAATTAAAAAATTACGCTAAATAACAAAAAATTTCGTGAAAAAGAAAGAAAATCACATAGAAAATTAAGATATTTTTCATATACTTAATTTTTTTTTTCTAAGCATTGATTCTTCCCGTTTATCGCAGTATTATTCAACAAGAATAGGTGAGAATGGGACGTCATAAAACTTCAGCCAGGCTCCTTCGGGACTTTTATTGCCGCATACGGTTTGCATAGTCAAATGTAAATTCCGTGAGTAGCTCGTGTGTTTCCGTGTGTACTCACATCGTCCTGCGCCTTGTGGCTCTTCCATCGAAATAATCTGTCCATTTGGCAGGTGACAGAAGCGCGGTTATTTCCTCAAACTTCGCGGAAGATCACTTGATTCCCATCTCGCGCGGCTTTATCGACACACGTGGACGGCTTCATTAAATCATTAATATTGAACATATTTCGATTTTAGATGAATCGAGATGCCAAAGGATCCATCACCCTTTTTCAGCACTTTAAGAAATCGACATAATGTTTCCAAGAGTAATAAAATAATGGCATTATTATAGTAAACTGTTTAAACTGTTAAGAAATCAAAGACAGTAACACCGCACCGTTTGCAATTTTTCTTTAAAAAAAAAAGGGGGGGGGAACTGATTCAAGTGTCTAATTATCTTTTAATTTTATAATGTCAATATTACTTTTCTCACTACTACGATTTTACAACACTTTTGTGTATCCGTTTTCAGATTTTTTTCGATGCATAAAAATATCTAGACGTCTGAATCGAATTACAAGAAATATCTTTCCTCTAAAAAAAATTAATGAGAGTTCTGTAAAAAGATCGTCTTCGAGCTGCAATTTAAACTATATTTTGTCAGCCACTACTATTACTGCATGTAGTTGGTGCTATAAGATTAATTAGATCGGGCTGAAGGGAACGGACGGCTGTGAAAACGCGCGGACGGACGTGGTATCGCGGCTGTCGTTGTGATACGAGCACTGGATGCTGATCCGCGAGGGATTCAACGTGAAGGCTGGTCGGTCCACGTCCCACTCACCCTCTCGATTCCCTCCGCCGCATAGAGGACGGTGCCGAGGACCTCACCGCTTCTCTTTCTCTCTCTTTCTTCCTGGTTCTCGATTCCTGGCACGAGAAGCGCCTGCGCGTCTATCGATTCCCTCGGTTCCTGCAGGAACATTGGACGCAACGCCTTCCTTCCTTCCTGCGTATAGTTCTAGTCAGAACACTAAAGTGTCCTTTACTATTTGTCAGAGATAGCAATTTTTTCTTAATTAAGTTGAGAACTCGGTTGAGAAGAACTTTTAAAAGTTCCGAAATTGTACGAAAGTCCTCGAAAACATTTCTACATTGTATAACTTCCGATGAGAATAAGGTTACTTCCGGTTTGTCGAATTTTGAAAAACAAAATGTAGAATAATAATTATGATATCCTCGAATAATAAAACCTTCGAATTTCTTCAACTATTAATATAATAAGAATATTATTGATATTGTTTCTAACTTTATATATTGATAATTTCTAATAGTATACACACGTTCAAGTAGTTTAAATCGTATTATTTTAACAGAATTAGATCATCGGCATGAATTATTTATCGTCCATTCATGAATATTAATAACAGACTAAATAACAAGTATATAGAGGCAGTTCTATAAGAGGAACTTATAATTGCTAATTTATACCGTTTAAAACTCTATTAATATAAAATAATTTAAAAAAAAATACACGAGGTAAGAAGTTAACTTTTCCACTATAAAAACACCTGCAATTCTACGCTTTATTGATAAAAAAAAGGCTTTATTGTAAGCGTGTATCTCGTCTGTTATTTTATCCTGGCGCGTCGGTGAATAACCTGATCGCTCTGTTTGCAACCAGGATTGCGTGCGTTCGCACCCCTGCAGCAATCGCGTTACAAAAAGGGACTTCGAGTTAACCCCTGACAAGCTGGGGTCGAAAAGAATGATGGCACGTCGAGTGAGACGGTCGATGGTCATTCAAATGCGACGTTGCTAATCAATACGATTAATAATATACACATCAATAATCGTATTAATAAAAAACAATTATGTGATATCAAAAGGCGATAAGAGTAAAAAAATC